GAACTTTTCATGTACTTAATTCAATGTATTTGGTTCGGCTCATGGAAAGTTCGGCGTCTGAACTGGGCCTTAGTCTGTCTGGTCGTCTGCTAATTACAAACACAACTAAATTGTATTTACAATAGCTTAAGAATAGTCAAGCTGCCGGGACCCACAAACTAAAACTACACGACAGAAACTAAACAAGGCCAAAAGAAAGTACACTTTACATAAATTAAAAGGACCGAGCCGCGAGATTAGACTGATTGAAAGCCATAATTCTCAAACGGAGATCAAACAGGTCAAAGAATTAATTGCTTTTAATTACAAACCACAATAATCCAGCGAAAATATAAATCAAATGAGACAAACAGCCTTTTCAAATTTAGGTCTGTCTAGCCTTCTGCTAATTACAAACATTGTTTGCAATAACTTAAGGATAATTTGGATGCATCCCACATTTAAACTAAACTGGATGTAGCTCTCGCTAAGTGCCAACGAGCAACCAATCAAAACAAATACTAATTGGCAACTTAAAAAAAGTCATGTTTTGTGCACCTCACTTTTTTGAAGTCAAGGATTCAAAACAACGTCAAATGTCTTAAATTCAGATGTAAATATTTTGATTGACAGCGCAGAATCGCCAAAACGAAAATAAGATTCTTGGTTTTAAATCATCGCGATACTACGGTTTCGGCTGTAATGATAACTAACATCGTTTTCTTCCCTTTCTAAAAATTATCTGGAAAATTGAATAATATAACAACAAAAGAATACAGAACAAAAATGAAGCGCCAACAATAACTTCTTGTACGGTACTATGCAAGTCAGATTTACACAAACTTACATGTCTTTCGTGTCAAACAATGTATTTAAGCTATAAACGGTAACAATTTCAATTATATAACGTCCTCTGACAAAGAACAATAGAAGTCTACATTTCATTGACCAACAGCTTGGTTTGAGGATTTACAGAAACTTACGTGCATTTCGTTCCGAGGCTTGTTGTATAGATTAGTCAAATATATAACATATGAGCATAAAAGTAACAAAATATTTCAAATAAATAAAGTCCTTCGTAGTCGAACAGCTGGCAAAGGATATGCGCAAACTGTTTGCTTTGGGACGCTTGGGCCAGTTGGACGTTAACGGTATTAAACAACTTCAATTATAAATCTCAGTTGCTTTGATTGCTTTTTGCTCGCTGGCGGTGACAAATTTGGCTCACTGGCAGATGTCGAGTTTTCTCTCGTGTGGCTCGCTGGCCGATAGTTTGCAACAGTTGTCGTTTGTTTTAGCTTAGCTTTGATTGAATTCAGTTTAAAGAGGTTTCTTTGATTGCTTTATGCCCGCTGGCGTTGTCTAGATTTGGCACGCTGGCCGAATTTGGCACACTGGCCGAGTTTGGCATGGTGGCCGAGTACTCTTTTGGCTCGCTGGCCGATTGTTGAGCTTGCTAGCTCGATAAATATACCACAGTGGCACTTAACTAAAGTACACTCACGTAGAATTGGGAATAAAAACAAATAAAACTTACAAAAGCAGGTGAAAATTACGTTTTTCTTTCCTCAAACTTGATCAAAACTCCGCTCAATGAATGGCAAAGCTGCTGAGAATCGACGATCACAACCATGCGGGCTTGACGTCACAATCTCTGCGCGCTACGATTGGTCCGTTGTAAGACAATCGACCTTTTCCACTACGTCATTGGAATCTCAGGAATCTTGCCTTACAACATAGTTAGTAGAGGGGAATGGTTATAAACATGTCTCTCGATCACTCGAGATTTTTTCCGCCTGCACAGTACTTTCGCACGGCTCTATAATGCTGCCGCCTCGCCAGCCTCGCGTCTTCGCTCGGCTGGCTCGTTGGCAATAATAGACAAAAGACAATAAAAGGGGACGTGCGAGCATCTTTGCGCGAAAGATTTCCATTGCATTAGTCTAAAAAGATTCTGACAATGTAAGAAAACTAACTCTTACCCATCAATTGCATGGTTTTCTCTTCAACAGCTTGTAGAAAAGTTGACAGTAGCCCCTAAAATAAAAATCCAATCAACGCCAAGTGCCGATAAAATGGCTCTGACCGCCGAAGGAGGACTGATGTTGTTGATCAACTTCGCTGCGTTTACAGGGAATTTGCTGATGTGTTTTATTTTGTACAAGAAGCCAAGTTTCCACACAACTGCAAACACATTCACTCTGTCTTTGACCATTTGTCACGTGTTTACCTCTTGCCTGGTCATGCCGTTCACCGCGGGCTCACTGGTGGCGGGAGAGTGGATGTTTGGACAGACTTTGTGCGACATTCAGGGATTCGTGTTCCTCGCCTTAACATGGGTGCCATTGCAGTTGCTGACAATCATGGTGGCGCGTCGATATTTAAACATCACCCAGTTGTTATTCCACAATAAGTGGTTCTCGCTTAACCGATCCACTGGAATGGTTTTGACAATCTGGGTATTCGATGTAGTCGTGCTGATGTTTCTCGCAATACTTGGTGGCACTGCGTTTCAATTTTCTCCAAAACGATCATTGCTCTGCACTAGGCCCTTGAGCCGTGAAAACCAAACTGTAAACATATTTAATACAGTGATTACATCGGCCCTTTACATAGCGCTGTTAATTATCTCCATCATGACATTGTGCGCTATCAGAAGACATGAAGCCACCTTTCGGGCTAGGAGAAGAATTACCCCGTTCGACATGAGATCAGCTGCTGAAGCAAAGATAACAGATAAAGTTTTGTTAGCCCTTACAATAGAAATCCTTCTTATTTGGATGCCTTTTGTAATAATCAAGCTCGTGGAATTTCCAACCCAGCCGGCAGTCATGGCTATTCCACGCCAGGCCCATCTGGCTTCCACTTTTCTTTGGTTTGCTGTCGCTGTCCTTCACCCCGTCACATATGGGGCTTTGTACAGACCGTTTTCAAGAGAACTGCTGAGAATTGTGCCGACTAGATTGCGCCAAAATAAGGCACATGCTGAACATGCCATCTGACATGATTATACTGACGTCCTGGACTGTATCTGAAAGCGGTTAAGCAAGTTGAGCTTTTGCAAGTTTGCAACACTGCAACAAATAGTCACGTCCTGTAGTCCTTTGATTTTTGTATTAACATAACCATTTAGTCTGGTAAATGTATAGCCACGACAATTTAAATATAACGACTGTTTTGTTTAAGAATTCTTGGCAGTAATGAAATAGTAACTTCAAAGTAAAACAGATGACTCAAGCAACCTCGTTTCCAGGACTTTTAGCCCTAGGAACAAGGTTCCCGCGCAAGGGGCCCCACCGAATAAAGGAACTATAGAGCACGCGCCGATTACATTTTGATGACGCGGGTCCCTTCTCATTTTTATTCCCCTTCATCTAGCTGGTGTTTTTCAGATATAATGACATTAATATGACAGTAAAACAGATTATAATACCTCGCCCGGCTCAAGGCGAAGGAACCTGGCATAAGGTATGCTATGAATGCTAGGAAACCAGCATTCCTTTGTGGTACTTTCAGTTTTCGCCGCTTGCATCCCCTCGTGAGTTCGTCTTTTAAAATTTGTTCACTGTTAATTGGTCACTATATAAAACGTTTCTGTGTAATCAAGGCAAACGTTTCAAAACTTGGGTGGTCTTGAGTTAGACGCTGGAGGAAGCGTGATCGCTGACACTCGATGGGCTTTAAGTTAGTTTAGTAAATTAAGTTGACGTAAAAAGGCTTGCAAACTACCTAAGTGTAGCAACAACAAGAACAATTTATTTCATTATTCCCATACGAGTACATAGCATTACCTAAAATATAATATAGCAATTATATTGTAACTAAATTACAATAATTTAAAATATATTCTGTCTGTAATCCATGCATGAATGTATATAGACGCTAAGCAGCTGTATTGAATGGAGCGTTTCACGATTCGGCGCATGTCTGCATTATTTATTCTCCCGTACAGGCTTTTTGGCACAGGCCCAGTTTTTCATTGTTTAAGAGCCAATCGTAAGCAAGTTACCTAATTTTTCATGCGAATAGCCGTAAAATCATCAACCATAGGATACATCGCACGGGTCAACACTAAATTCAATGGTCGACAGCGTCAGCAAAATCCACTGAAATCTTCTCAGAATTTTGGTCATTCGCCATTCTTCCACGACTAACTATAGTATGTGCCTAATGAAGTACATCTGAATGGGGTTTTAAATCGATAACATTAATAAGAAACGAACAAAAAAATATTTTGATCTACAGACATGCACCGAACCGGGAAACCTCCCTTTTAAGTTTGCAGAATAAGGGGCCAACATTATTAAAAAGAAAAATATAAAAACCTTCAAGCGTGAGTCATCGTAAAGGTGACAGGAAAGTAGAAAATGCACTATTCATGTTTCAGTCCGTGACCGATGACAAGACTCTGCTCCTCAAAGTGTATCGTTTACTTATAGATTATAACACAGGCGGCCCAGACATTGAATACGATTAATACGTGACATTATGCTGTTGGCGATTGCCTTACAAATTTAGCCGTTTATAAAGACAATGTATGAGAATGCTTCGAAAATTACTCTAAATGCTACGTGTAGAAAATAATTTGAATAAAATGACTTACCTTATGTTTGCATTGCGTTATTTTGATGTCTCTGGGCTCCTGGAGGTGGTTTAGAGCCATTTAGGCGAGTTTTACTTTCTGGCTGTTTGCTTCCCCTTAAGAGACATAAGGTAAGCCATTTTATTCAATTTATTTTCTACACGTAGCATTTATAGTAATTTTCGAAGCATTCTCATACGTTGTCTTATAAACGGCTCAAATTCTAACGTCTGGGCTGCCTGGAAAACTTATAAACACTTTAAAAGAATGAAAACTATCTAAATCTTCTCTTATTAAACTAATAAACACTACAATTTAAATATAGCGACCGGTTCTGCTCAAGAGTTCTTGGTAATAATGAAAGAAATAACTTCAACTGAAGTAAAATAGATGACTCAAGCAGACTCGTTCCCAGAGTTTATTCTAAGGGAAAAGCTCTGGGAACGAGTTTGATGACTGAAGGAGATGCTAGATGACTATCAAGGCCGCCCGGATACGCAGCAGGCTTTTATTGATTGTCAACTGGCATATTGCGCTCCCGGCACCACTCAAAACGTTTTGGAAATTCTGCGCGAATTATGCTCGTTTCTCTAAATTATGCTTCTCGTATCAAAATTACGCTACTTGGTTTTATAGAAAAGATACCTCCTGCAAGAACTAATCAAAAGGAATATATTTTATATTAAAAGAGGACGGCATAGCTTATTGCTTTAAGCATAGAGATTTTTCAAGAATAAAAACACATGGAATTGTGACCAGACAAATCTGGTACAGAAAATCCGACATGCGTTTCAATGCATAACTTTCACAAAATGCACTAGATGGATAAGATGTCCGCCTAAAACACAAAACTTACGTAGAACAACAAATCCTGAAAATTTAAGCTCAATTGGGCAAATCCTTCTCAAAATATATTTTCCCAAAGCAGAGCTTTGTACTTACAGTAACAAAAATGCTTCCCAAAATAAAACTTCAATACCTCAAGATTCAAATTCCGGTAAAAACAAAGGGCTAACAAAACTTTATCTGTTCTTTTTTCTTCGGCAGCTGATCTCACGTCGACCAGGGTAAGTCTTCTTCTCGCTCGAAAGGTGGCTTCATGTCTTCTGATAGCGCACAACGCCACGATGGAGATAATCAGGATTAACAGCGCTATGTAAATGGCCAATGTAATCACTGTATTAAATATGTTTACAATTTGGTTTTCACGGCTCAAGGGCCTAGTGCAGAGCAATGATCGTTTTGGAGAAAATTGAAACGTAGTGTCACCAAGTATTGTGGGAAAAATCAGCTCGACTACATCTCATTAATACCCAGATTAAGCGAGAACCACTTATTGTGGGATAACAACTGGGTAATGTTTAAAAATCTACGCGCCACCATGATTGTCAGCAACTACAAAAGCACCCATGTTAAGGTGAGGAACACGAATCCCTGAATGTCGCACAAAGTCTGTCCAAACATCTACTCTCCCGCCACCAGTGAGCCCGCGGTGAACGGCATGACCAGGCAAGAGGTAAACACGTGTTTGCAGTTGAGTGGAAACGCGGCTTCTTGTACAAAACAAAACAAATCAGCAAATTCCCTGTAAACACAGCGAAGTTGATCAACAGCATCAGTCCTCCTTCGACGGTCAGAGTCATGATTTTATCGGCACTTGGCGTTGATTGGATTTCTATTTTGTGGGCTACTGTCAACTTTTCTGCAAGCTGTTGAAAAGAGAATCATGAAATTGCTGGGTAATAAATACTTTTCTTACATTGTCAGAATCTTTATAGACTAATGCAATGGAAATCTTTCGCGCAAAGATGCCCACTCATCAACTTTTGTTGTCTTTTGGCCTTGTTATAATAGTTTCCATTATTTAGTTTTAATGTGGGATGTATCTTAATTATCTCTAAGTTATTGCAAATAATGTTTGTAATTAGCAGAGGGCTAGACAGACCAAGATGGCTCTTTAAAAGGTTGTTTGTTTTATTTGATTGACAATTTCGCTGGATTATTGCGGTCTGTATTTAAAAGTAATTTAGTCCTTTAGCCTGTTTGATCTCCGTTTGAGAATTACGGTTTTTAATCAGTCTAATCTCGCGACTCGGTTCTTTTAATTTATGTAAAGTGTACTTTCTTTTGGCCTTGTTTAGTTTCTGTCGTTTAGTTTTAGTTTGTGGGTCCCGGCATCTTGATTATTCTTAAGCTATTGTAAATACAATTAAGTAGTGTTTGTAATTAGCAGACGACCAGACAGACTAAGGCCCAGTTCAGACGCCGAACTTTCCATGAGCCGAACCAAATACATTGAATTAAGTTCATGAAAAGTTCGGCGTTTGAATCGAATTAAGAAGGGCTATTCGAATTTGGAACAGCCAGCCGTTCTTCCCGCCTAGCTTATCCGGGAATTTTGGGTTTGGAACGGCTTTGATTCAGAGGTCGAACTTTTCATGAGCCGAACCTAATGCATAAATTATTATAACGTATTTTCCAAGCAGTTTTCAGTTTGCCTGAAAATCGCTGACACTTCGATGTGATTTAGTTTAAACTAAATAAAGTTCGGTGAATTAAGTTCGACGTCTGAATCAACAGGTGTACTTTTGATAATTTGGGTCGGTCGATCCAAATTCGAATTAAGTTCGGCTCATGAAAAGTCTGAACTGGGCCTAAGATGGCACTTTAAAAGTTTGTTTGTTTTTTTTCATTTATATTTTTCGCTGGATTGTCGTGTGGTCTCTGAAAGTAATTAAATTCCTTGACCTCCGTATGACTCCGTTTGAAAATGGTTAATTAATCTTGTGGCACAACAAACACTATTCTCGGGTCAAGACTGTTTTCACCAGTACAATCCGTTTCGTTTATGATACCGTTGCTACGGCTGCGATCGGTGGAAGCTGGCCCTGTGACATATTTCGAGTCTGCTCAATTGTTATATATTTCAAACCAATCCAGGACCTTATAAATTTTTAATGATGACCTCAAAAAATATTTAATAAAACCGATAGAAAAAAAGAAAACACTCCAAAAAGAACATTATCAGTAAAGTGATAAACTTTGTAGTCTCAGTCAGCGATGTAACCAAAACATTTCAAAACGGTCGATTGTCCCCACAGATGTGCTGAGCAGTTTGAATTTGAGAAAGCAAGGGAAATACAAAGAAATTTACTCGTAACCATATTATGGAAGTTAGTTGAGTTCGGAACTGTCTAAAATTGACGCAGCGTGGAGAGATATAAAAGTGGTATATCATAACGTACCGAGATTTAGTTGCTTCTGCAATCAGTTTGTTGCTCCTGTTGATTAATTAACAACATTTTATATGTAATGTGCCTTAGGTTCTTAATTCCTTTAGTCACGGAATCGTTGTTCCGGCTGATTACCGATGAACAACAGTTCTTAATGCCACGATACGAACATAGCTTATTACCTCAGGATCGCGGGGAGGGGAGGGTGGGTATTCACTTATATAGGCCGCGTACTTGCTGCTGCAAGCTCTCCCGGGCTGAAAAAGTGTCTGGTTTAAAAACTGCTAAATAGTTCTTTAGATACTTTTTTTATGAATAGTTACTCGATCTTCAACCAAAAACTGACAGAAAATAAAACACATAATAAAAGGTTAATATTGAAATGGTTTGAAAAAAAAAATGCCAGTGCTTCCTGAAGAGTAAAGGTCACAAACAAATCACATCTTTTTATCTGAAGTGTATTTTAATACAAATTACGAGGGGTTACACTCCTTCCACCCTCCACACCCCATCTCCTCCCTTCAACCGGGTTTACTTATCATATCAATTTTTGAAATAGGATTTGTCCGAGTCAAAAGAAGGATTAATTACGCTCGTTCTTCTCAGTTTCCGCGAACAGTAAAAAGTCTTCCTTTTGTTGTCTAATGTATTTTTTCATTTATTCGTTTGATTGTTATTAATTTGAGCAAAACTAATCAAGAGCAAACTGACACTTCATTAGTGTTTTCCTTCAATGAGTCTTGCATAATGCCATTCAACCGATCTTTTGTTGCGAATTTCTTTTGTTGATTATGACGTTTACACGAGGCCAGCTGATTTCGGCTAGGATATTTTGTTGAATGATGTTTGATAAATTAGCTTTTACTCTGCCAGACCTTTACTCCTTTCAGTTTTTATACCAGTTTTAAACTAGTCACTCCTTTATTAACTTGCTCGCTCGCTCTTTGACTGATGTCATTTCAAATGCCGAGGCACATTACGCCAATATGGAGTAAATTAATTCGTGTAAAGGAAATTAAATTAATGACAACTTCGTAGTAAGTGCCGATGGATGATCATATAAGACAGCAAGCTAGTAAACAGAGTTCACAAATGGTTTCTAAAGAGAGTAAATGCGTCGTTGATCAGTTGAACGCACGCGTCAACCAATCCAAGAGGAGGTCGCCTGGACCGAAGTCTCTCCGAAGCAAGCTGTTACGTTGATTGCAAATTCCTTTCTAATTGGGTCATATATCCACGCTCTTTACATCGATATCCAGGCAAGATATCCCTTCGCGGTGTAGACAACCATAGCTTTCGACACAAGCCGCGCACCCTACGCTTATTTGGTTTGCATTGAACAAGCAGCTGATGACAATCAGCTGCTTCATGAGGTACCAAGATCCTGTTTTGTGGGCGTTGCTTGGAATTTTTTTCACCCTAACACATTATATCATGTCATACTTTTTTGGCCCTATCCCCTAAAAGGTTCTGCAAAAGCTCCCGCTGTGGACCTTTTGAGACTGCACGCTATAAGAGCTACCAAAACCGCTATTTCAATCTCTAAAAGGTACTACGAGCACCCCCGTCATTTTTATACGGATATCCTCCCCCAGAGGCTTCCACACCGTTCAGTTCAGTCATTCCAAGATCTTTCACTACTTCCGTTACTGTAGAACAAAATGCTGTGTAGCTACACTTGATTATCAGTTCTCTCACACTGCGAAGTTTTCTCAAAGTGACTATTGGTGACCAAAGTACCTTTGAAGCAGGTTCACTACTGATTGAAACACGTGCGGTTTAAAGTGCACAGCATCATAAGGTTTTCCAGGCAGCCCAGTCCCCTCAGGATATGAGTCGCTGATAGGAAACACGTCTAACACGTCGATCCCTGCTCGGCACATGGCGTGCATGGCGTAAGAGTTAAACAACAGAACACGCTACAAAGAACAGGACAGAGGAAACTTTTGTGAGTAGAGTTATGTTATTTGAAAACAGTTTGCGTCCCTCTATTCACGTTCAAATCAGACTGATTTGTATCTCATCTCCCCTTTCCGATTCGACCCGAACCGACCCGACCCGAGAAAAGCAAATACATTTCAACCGCAGTTTACAGACACCCTTTTTATGTAGACTTAATTGTTACAGACAGTTGTCTTTGCTCCCTATCTGTAGCCCTACGTTTTGCCAAAATAAACTGACCAACCCCCGCCCGTCGGTTTCTCTTTGTTTCTCTGTGTTACCAACCATGTCCGCCTCAATTGGAGATGGAGGAGCGGGGAAGGAATTGCACTTAATTATTACTGGTCATATCTAGAAACAGAAATGAACGTTGCCAAAACATAATTTTGTGGAGTAACACACTTGACATTGAAGTTACCCTTGACAATTTTGCGCGCGAACAATTTTTCGAATCTCGAATAACATTCAAACAACCACTTACATAACGTAATTTTTGTTTCTAAAAAAAGGGAAAAGGCAAAATGGAAAAAGACTGACGTAAAGTACAGCGCATATTTTCCATACAAGGGTTTCGCACAGGTGAAGTTTGGTTGTTTGCATTCTTGAGGTCATCTTACCTGGTAGGTCAAAAATCTGATGCTTGTTGAATGGCGAGCATTGGTTCTTGGATCACCATATTTCTCTTTATTAATGGCAGTCGTCGTCTTCCAAATAAGTTGTCCTCTAAACCGCCATGATTTCTTGTTCGTCTTGAATTTTTCATTTAGCAATCTTATAGTCTTATCTATAAGCCCCATGTAGGTGGTGAAGTTTATAGTGTGCACGTAGTGCAGACCTAGATTGAGAATCAACACACTTTTGTCGCTGTCCATGAAAGGCTGAGAAATGACGTGAAAAATTTCGGTTAACACTCTCCTGACACTGAAATCCTTGTCGTCGTTTTCTAGTCTTCCTCTCGTCAAGTTCCTGCCAGGAATTCTGTATACCCAGTTGTAAGTGTTGTTACATCTTTGGAAAATCTTTTTACATAGCGGCTGCCTAATAATGGATTTATAAAAAAAGTCCCCGACTGAATCACCGTAAATCCATAATGTTTCTAGTTTCCCAGCTGGATTTCTGTTTCTTGTCTGAGGTGCCTCTAAAAATTTTAACGTATGAAAATATTACGAAATAGATATTAAGAGAAATAGAGAAAAAATGTTCATCGAACAGATGCATCTAAAATGTCTCGCACGGTTTCTACCCACATCGGCTATACTCTTGTTTATGAAAAAAGGCCAGTTGCATTCTAAGAATTAAGGTCAAACCGGCACACAGGTTAAAAATTGTGTTTGAAAACCTGGGTGTTTAAAGCCCCAAGGTGTGGGGGGGGGGGGGGGGGGGGGGGGGGGGGGGGGGGGGGAGTAGACTATTAATTTTTTTGGCAGGAGTGTCCTGTGTGACCCAAGAACCCTTAGCCTTTACCACTCCATGTTCAGNCTCGTTATCTCCCGTCATTTTTTTTTTTCAGCTCAATACCCAATAAGGTACCACGAAAGCTCCCGCTGAGGATCTTTTGAGGTTGAACACCCTAAGAAGTACCAAAACCTCAGCTTTTCAGTTTAACCCCTAAAAGGTACAACGAGCACCCCTGCACCTTTTATATCGGAATTCCCCAGGGGGGTTTCTCCCCCCCTCCCCCCTCCCAGCTATACTCTTATTTAGTAAATCAAAAAAAAAAAAATACTTGTTGCATTCTAGAAATGAAGATGGAACCGGCACACAAGTTTAGAACTGTGATTTCAAAATAGAGATACTTAAAGGGCCTACTCAGCCACACCTTTGTTGTTGTTTACATACGAGAGTTTGGCTATTATATTTTATTCAGATCATGTCCAAATGAAGGAAATTACTATGAAACTACTAAAGATAATTAAACATACTTTTAGGAACGCAACTTACAGTAAAGCAATAAGATTTTGCTTCACCATGCAATATTGATGGCATTGAAAATGGCTGACTAGGGCCCTGTAAGGTTCCTTCGGGTACGTATATAAACTCGTTTTCAAGACTAAAATCTTTTCAAAAGTTAGAGTCTTTGTAAGAAAACTAAAACTCTTAAACTGAGTCTATGCTTTCTCACTTCTAACCTAATGATGGAGAGTTTAAGGGCAATTTTCTTGTTTCCTGACAGTAGCTAACTACATGAACAGAGTCAATAACTCACCGCTAATGAGATATGGTTTCCACGTTTCATTCATCCATCTTCCATTACCATCCCACATTTCAGAACATCTGATTCCACAAGGTACATTAACGGAGCCAAATTTATCGATGACCTCTGATGATCGAAATGGTATCCATATAAATTTGTTCTAGTAAAATTCCCCAAATCTACTATATTAGCTTGCGCAACTTGTCTTATGGAGAATGCAGATTGAGCCCAGACTCACAATGACTTATGAAGAATTATTGTCTTATTCCTATATTCTCTTTACAGGAACTAGTCTCCTTTGCAGGACAAGGACTTGAGGGTTTATTGACTTGATGAATATGAGGACTGGAGGAAAGTTTGTTTGGCTCTCGATTATCGCGTAGAACAGCGCGTTTTTATACGAGCTAGTTGGCCAGAGTTGATATCGTCTGCCTGTGAAATGCAATCTCCGGTCGATCCCTGCCCTAATTGACATTTGCATGTGTTCAAGTTCGATAGCATGAAAGCGCGCACGTAACCAAGAGATTATGATCTAACTGATAAAATTTCTCGTTTGATCGTGGTCGCATAAAACAGGATTTTATTTGTTCTTACTTTGCGGAAATTTCAAAAATAACACTGGAATATCAAAACAAAATTGCATCTACTGCGTGTACTTACTTTGAAAAAGTAGCTCGGTTGAATGTGGAATAAGAATAGTAAATGGTGCACCGTCCCATAAAGGACTCAATAGAAATGGTTTGTCGTGGCCAGGAAGAGCATTTGGTGCTTGATATCTACCTTGCACATTCCCTGGTAAATAATGGAATATAAAGTAAAATAAGTTTCGCTGGCAGTCTATAACTAGGAGTGTCCACCTCAGACTTTGTAAGAATCTTTAAAAGACGAGGATCCCCTAATGTATAAGTTATTTGCGGGGAGACATTTGGTGGGAAAAAATAACTGCATTTCTTATGAGCAAGTATGAAGAAAGGGAAGGAAGTCAATAGGACACTGTTTAAAGTAAGTTGTTAAAAAGGAATTCATGGAAAACTGTAAGGGATATCATGTACGGTGACTGCACCCTATAATCTAAGGAAGAGTTCAGCGAGGCCGGTTACTGAGTTTCGACAACTACTACATGTCGTTTACTAGATAGAAATACTCATTGCGTGTCAGAGGTTGCATACGCGAATCCTGGGTCCCACTGAGTTTAATATTCTACGTAGATATATATGAGGCGCACAATTTGACGCTTCTGAGCGACTCACGTAATGGGATTGAGTTAGTCCATTAAATGTATTGCTGTTACTGACCTTTAATAAACCAGTCGCGTGGAGGGTCTTTATAGCCATCACACAGTGAATACTCCAAAACCACTTCCACGTGGTATTGTCCTGGTTCTAAAACAAGAAAAATGACTTCGTACTTTCCATTACCATGATCAACTACTGTTGGAGACATGGAAGAAGGGCCTCGTACATGAACCCGCCAAGAGTCTCCTCCAACCTTCTTGTCCAAATTGTCCCGTGTTACAGACTGTATTTCAAATCGACTAAACTGCCCGGCAGGTCTGATATCCCACAATATCAGATAGCTTTTAGCCGCATCTGTCCTGCTTTGGGAATGTTGAAAGCCCTTATTCTTGCCCCATTCCATGTTTTCTGCGCATGGTCGTAAAACTTGTTTCCAGTCCATTCGCATTCGCTTTAAGCGACACCATGTCTCGAGAAAGTCCGCGTAACGCGCGTTGTCGCGCGTGTCGTTGTTCATTATCCTCGCGTGTAGCTTCCGTGACGCGATGTGAACTCTGTAATGATGGTGGATCCAGTATAGGTACGCAAAAAAACACAATGTTGCAACAGTTACTATTTTCCGAGAGATTAGCCTGTTGTTGCATGTCCATGCTGCTAAGGACGTGCGAAAACTCATCCAGAGCTGGCCAGCATCAGTTTCAAAGCAGTATATGTTTCCCTTGTCCCGTTATTGTCTCCGGATAGCACCTGCGGGAAAAACTGAAATGCAACGTTCTATAGAAATCAAAATTCATATATGTTATTCTGCGGAACAATAAATAGCACCGTAGGGGCAATCCAAGCTTAGCTTAGCACTGCATCTCGCTATTTCTATTTAGAACTAAAAAGTAACAAACCTTTTCATAGTGCTTAAGACTGAATGGTCTGATTTTGCCATGGTGTAAAATAGTTTTGCAACCTTCTCTCGTGGTATACCCTTGAATATCCTACTGGTCTCGATCTTTTCATTTTAGATTCTTGGTATACACACTCACTGGCTGCCTGGCTCCGCTAGCCCCTATGACTATTCCAAGCAGCTAGTACTCTAATTTTTACTTTTAATATTTTCATTGTTGTAATTTGTTATTTTGAGCAAGAGTGAATGCAAATAAAGATTGATTGATTGATTGACATAAAGGCTCGACTTGTGTATACCGAGAAAATACCAGTGACTTATGAGATGTTCCATGATGTATCACTCGAAAGCGCTGCATTACTAGTATTTACAAGCGATGATTATTATAAAACGTTGCGACATTAGAACTAAATTAACTACGATGATTGCAAACTGGACAACATGTTTCACTGGCAATACCCTTGTAGCAACAAGGATTTTGTTTCCATATTGTGTTATATCATTCGTTTTGAGTTACAAATTCCTTTCAATAAAGAACCAGAATATTTTTATGCAAGATAATTTCGATATTATTGTCTCTGAGTCAATTCTTTCATTACAATCTGTCTGCTATTTGTGTTCCTTACGAAATGGACGGTCTCGTCCCAGTCTCTCAGTTCACGATTGAAAGAGAAATCTGAGAGAAGACTCCCTGATGTACGGTATAGCCCTTGTTTCAAATACAAGATCTAGATCTTACTAATGGATTTCAATTTGTCAGAGCCCCAATGGGGGAGCAATTCATTTTATGTGAAATTCAATGATACTTTCTTGAATGTGACTTGACATAATTGATATTCTAAGCAGAAATGAGATGTTGAACTTTGAAAGCAGCTTAAAATATATTCAGTTCTCTTAATTACTGTTTTCTACCTTTGTACGGAATCGACGGATTTCAAAAGAAGAATTTTCCTTGCGCAAAATAATCGGAACAGAGGGTATTTTCTTAGCCATTTATAGGAAAAACCATTACATCTCGTCTTCCGGAGTCAAATTCTACCAGTAGAGGTTACTCGCGAAGGGAACCGGTGTAAACATTTTGAAAAGTCTAACTTTACATTGAATCTAGTGGTTCTACAGCGATACTTACCTTTATGAACAAATCATTTTTTTACTGATGGATTCACTGTCGGTCCTTTTGTAGTTTACGGCATCGTTAGTAAGTACAACACAAATTTGAAAAATAGAATCTTCACAGATAGCCTTTTTCCTTCATCAACTTGACCTTTGAGTTTTGAACTGGTACCCGCTAGAGAGCCAATAGTCTGCGGGTACGGCGCAATGAACAACACACCTGCCTCCAGGTAAACATTATACACTTAATCACTGGTCCCAAGGTAAACAGTTTGTTTTGTTTTCCCGAGCCGGAATCTCGATGTTACCCGAGGCGAAGCCGAAGATTCCAGGGAAAACAAAACAAACTGTTTCCCAGGGGACAAGTGATTTAGTGTTTTGCTATATAGCTGGGGCTTAGTGTAAAGTTTTAAGGCGAGGAGAAGTCAAAGCAACGACTGGTTCGTGGAAGAGCGCGCGACAGTTGCTCAAATGTTGCTCACCAGGCAACATTAAGATTTAGCCAGTGCCACTTGACCATAAATCAACCAATGGGAGCGCTCGTTACATTCACCTGAACTCCAGCTATAAAACATAACATAGTGTTTTTTGCGTTCAAAAATTGAGGGAAGGGTAAAACAAAAACCTGTCAACTTTCTATCCTTCCTCAAACTTGTATTCATGTGATCATGGTGCTCTTTTCTGCCACGTCGAAAACCAATTAATCGTGATACCGAAGAACTCCAAAAGCAGTGCATGCACCCCTTAAGTAACTCACTTCATATATTTGTACCACTCAGCCCGTGAGTACACTTAATGTTGATAGCTGGGTTCCTGACATAGACCAGTCATTGTTCTTTTTCACTTAGTTCAGAGTGGTGTGCACTAAGGCCCCGTTCACACTGCGTCGGAGAAATCTGAAAACGCAGCTTTATTTCTCCTGTTAGGCCTACCGTCCAAACTAATCCGTCGCGAAAACCGAGCTTTTCAAAATCGCTCTTTTAACGGGGGGAATTTGAAAACGCCGGCTCTGCGTTTCAGTGTGGACAGAAAACGTTTTGAAAACAAAGCTTTTCGAAAACGATGAGGTCACGACAATCACGTGATTTCCCTGCACGAGTTTTACTCAAACACAAATCCAAAATGAGCGGTGATTGTTGCGTTTTCAAATTTCTCCGGCGTAGTGTGAACGCAAAACATATGATGCGTTTTCAGAGTGAAACATCAGTTTTCGAATTCCTCCGGCGTAGTCTGGACGCGGCCTAATGTAATGATTTGGCGAGCTGCTACGCGATAGGGCACGACGTGTATATTCTCGAGCGTTCATGCATGTAGTGAGTGTGAGTGGTCTGGACTTTAATCTGAAAGTTTCCTGCAACTGTTGAGGGATTGGGAACAAATTAATTGATTTTCCGACAAACGTGGTTTATTACAATACAACAACAAAAATGTCCACTCTTTACATGTAATTTACAAATTTTACATCATTTGGCCTGTCGAGGTATGTGCAATGAGGTGCAATAAATTGAAGAATATTCCAAATATTGAAATCATAATGGATTAATCATAATTGAATACCAAAAACTCACTCACATTATCTTTTAAATTAGTCAATCAAAGCATTAAAAAATTACAAGCCATTTTTTACTAGTAAATTCACAGCAATGATTTGCCATGGGATCTAAGCTAGAAACAAAGCTATACAAAGTGTAAAGACCTGAATGATCATTGCACTGATTTATGTACACGATACTAAAGCGGTTGCGAAAATAACCCCTGAGAAAAAAAAAAAAAAGAAAATTATGCTGCAAAGTGTTTACCTCGAGGATACCATATTATTATTATTATTATTATTATTATTATTATCGTTATCGTTATCGTTATCGTTATTGTTATTGTTGTTGTTATTGTTATTATTATTATTATTCTTTTATCCCGGATTTCCGCCGAACTAAGGGACCATGAACAATAATTTTAAAACAAACTTAATATGAAAACAAGATATTCGATGATGTAAATTGTTACTTTTAGTTTTTAAAAATTTTTGACATAATAGTAATAATAATAATAATAACAATAATATTATTATTATTATTATTATTTTCATGTTTTCATCGTTATTTACCATTAACGCTTAATTATTGAAATTAGACGCGGCTCGACCAAGAACAAACGTCCGTTTATTTTTGCTCGTGCTTGAGCCATTTTTATAAACTTCTTATATAATCCTGGCACAAGTGGGCTTGACACTAGCTTAGATTTGCCACGTAATTTAATCAGTAATGAACAAGCTATAACAAAAATCTGCCCCCTCTATTCTAATCCTCCTTTTGTACCTCTGTATGAGTCCATATAAATTGGACTTAGACGGTTAAAAAGCAGTGAATATACGTCGTGTGTATTACGCAGTGGGTCTACTCCCAACTGAAAACTGCGCATGCACACATTGGAGATAGAGTATATTTTGTATAAAGTTTAGTACCAAAGCTAATGCCTTTTATTTTTGCAAAGTTAAGAATCTGCAAAACGCTTTTAAATTAATGTTAACGATTAAATTGTCGGGAGGAGGGGGGGAAGGGGAAGGAGATCTTCCCTATGGTTGTTGAGATCAGTGTTTATTATAGACTGGTAAAATTTTTCTGATAGTATCAGTCTATCGCATGTGCAAAATTTAAGAAACCCTCACGAAAAATAAAGGTATTTTTTATAAGCGTATCGAACTCTAGAATTACGGTGGATTTACACTATTAAAAGTTCACATCTCGACCGTTTACAGAGCCCACGCGAGCTTTTGAAAAGGAATGGCGCAACTTTTCAGGACCAAACGGTGGCGACTTCTGAACTACCAGTGGAACAGGCAGAGAACGCGCTGAAGGCGCATCCGTCTGTACGAGACAGGGCGCAATGAGCTGCATCAAGGTGCTCCTGACTTCTGATATGCGATAGGTGTATACCAATGGATTAATGGCACTGTTACTGTAATGGAGAAGCTTCACAAAATCCAACAGGTGCATCAGATTCGTGCCGTGGGGAAGATAACTGGGCCAGAAAATAAACAATACTGACAGCGTGAAAAATGGAAGCCACGATAACAAAAAAAGACCTGTGACTATCAACACGGTTTTAGCGGTTGTCTGTTCATGATGTACCTTCCTCTGAAGTGAACTAATGGAGTACGAGCGCCGACGAATGTTGAACTGTTTCACGCTCTTGTAAATGTTGGCGTACATGCAGATTATTATCAGAAGCGGCAGGAAAAATCCCGCGATAGCACTAAACAGCCCCTTGTACTTCCTCCACATAGCAAATTTGAAATCGTTAGCAAAGATACCCGCAACTGCAAGGCCGTACGCCCATGTTGCGGCGATGGCGCAGTAATAGTGATAGCGACGCATAACGCGATGTCTTAGTGGTTTCGAAATAGCAATGTTTCGATCGATACTGATGATTGTAAGGTGTGCAATGGAGGTAAGGGCGCTGCAAACGTCGAGGAACTTGAACACTTTGCGGAACTGAAGGTTGACAGCGCTCTGTGATGTATGGTTCAAATCATACAGCAATATATACATCCAACACGGGATTGAGATGGCTCCCACGATGAAATCTGAAACTGCTAAACTCACGAAGAACATGTTCGTCGCTGTCCGCAGCTTGCTGTTTCTTGTGAAAACGATTATAATAAGAGAGTTCCCGAGGATTACCAAGAATGACAGAAGTGAATAGATTGTTACGAAAATAAGCGTCTCTTGCGCTGAGTGTCTGGGAAAGGTAGCCACGGGGCCCGAAGTGGATCTCGTTGGTGAAGTGTCGTTTGTTAGGTTGCATATTCCGCTAGAAGAACTTGAGTTGTTGAAAACCAAGTTTTTCATTTTCAAAGGTTGATGCGTCTTCTTTTAGTTCTTCACAAACCAGCCTCTTTAACAGAACTGCGACCGCTGAAAATGAAATTAAATATACTTAATTTGCACAGCTTTTAGAAGGACCTTAAGATGTGGCAAATAATTAATTGTTCATATGTGTTTATACGTCACTCGCCTTGTCACATAGTTAATAGGGATTTGGGAAATTAAGGCATTTGGTCATATTGGCTTCGAGACATGTAGACGTTTGACTGGTTGAAATTTGATTAAAAAAACTCAACAATCCATACCCAAAAACTCCTTTTGCTGCGACAATTTATTTCTTTTCTCCGTGTTGGGAACTTTAAGACAAGAAATGAAAAAAAATATATATATATCTGATCATAATCCATGCGGAATTGAAATTCGTTTAAGAGATCATACATGATGAGTAGGTACATTAGCTCCCTTTTCTCGCCAGCCAGACGTAAAATTATCTGTCAACCATGGGATAAAGGTGGGCCATTGCTGAGATAATTTTCAAGGGTTTGACATAAAATGATCCAAGCATTCAAACAATGAGTTAAAAAAACGAACTTGTCAAACTGCAGGAGAATTGAATCGATTTGGCCAAGCTGCACCTGCTACTTGTGCATTTCAATATTGCCCTTCCAGTCCTATTTTGGTTTTTAATATTTGTCGGTCATGTTTGAACCATCTTATTACCAACGTGTGGTATACTTACTCTTTGTTTCAGCTCGTGCTTAACTGTAATAAGTCCGGAGGGGCAACATCCAATTAAGCAAACATAAAATATGCCTCAGGGCTAGATTAGTTGTCCATAACAACCTTGGTTTAACTGACGAATGCTTTTGACAAGGAGGGAGTTCCATTTGATTTAAAAAAAAATAAAACAAACCTTCATTCCTGGTTTTAATTACGTTCTTTCAACTTTTTGAAAATAATAATCTATACTGATCATCTTTTTGATTCAAAAAACCTGACGTCATTTCTGTAAATTCGCAGGCGCGTCATTACAATGGGGTTAACTAACTGTAGAATTTTAGACAAATGGACTCCGAAATTCGAAATCGCCAGTCTTTTTTATGTCTAAGGAAGATTCGCTCCGTTTGTTAATTAAAAGACAGCTTGAAGTTTCAACCGGAGACAAATTTTATAAACCAGCAAATGTAGAAAAGGAAGTGACCCAAAAAATAACGTAAATTTTTGGCGAACTTTCACTCCCAGTAATGCCAGTCGGAAAGCTCTTGTTTATTGAATTTATAACTTGATGCGTTTGCAGTATTTTTAACTTGACATAGTATTCCTTGACTTCCTTACCGTCAAATATGTTAATTATTTCTCTTTCTAAGCTCGCCCCGCATTTCCAAGTTTCTACCGGAGACAAATTTTATAAGCTCCCAAATGGTAAAAAGTAAGTGACCCAAAACGAGCGTAACTTGTTTTCCCCTTCGATCTGTTTCCGTGTGGCGGAACACGTAAGATACACTAATATGCAATCTTGTTTTTGGCGTGTAATTCCAACTAACGTTTGCTTTTGACAAGGCAGCGTGTGTTACATTTGTCGACTTAACAACAAATCCTTCATTCCCAGTTTGATTACATTCTTTCAACCTTTTAAAAATAATACTCTATACAGATCATCTTTTTGATTTAGAAAACCTGATGTCATTTCTGTGAATTCACTCACGGCTGGCGCGTTAGTACTGACATTAGTGTCAAAAGCTGAGACAAGCCTCTGAGATCGGACGACGCCATTCATGTCTGAAGATGATTTGCTCCGTTTCAGACCTTTACAAATTTAAAAGACAGCTTGAAGTTTCTACCGGAGACAAATTTCATAAATCCGCAAAAGTATAAAAGCAAGTAAACCAAAAATAACGTAGCGTGTGTTTTTCCTTCGATCTGTTTCCGTATGACGGAACATGAAAGATATATACTTTGATATTCAGTCTTATTTTTGGCGACCTTCCACTCCCACGAATGTCAGTTCGAAAGCTTTTGTTTGTTGTATTTATAACTTGATGCGTTTGCAGTATCTTTTAACTTGACAGAGTTTTCCTTGCCATCAAATATGCTAATTTTTTTCTTTCCAAACTCGCCTCGGTATCAGAATTCAAATAATATCGATGGTCTTGAGACCGTATAGTATGAAATAAGTCACAATGCAGTACAGTCGTCTATAAATTCAACCGCCTTGCCAAAAACATTTATGTGTGTATTATTGCCGTTGACAGAAAGAATGGAGTTTTCATCATTTTGTTTTCCGACAAAAAGTCATCTCAAGTACTTGGCAATCCCACACATCCTAGCGTACACGGACCTCTCGTGCCCAGGGTCTATGGAGTGAGGCGTGCCGTGTGGTAAGTCCCTCCCAAGAACATTTCTTTATCATAGATATAATAAACAAATCCGAAAATTTTACAAAGAAAATTATTTTGCCTCGGTCGGATTACCCTTGCCCATGAAATTAATTCAATACTTATAGAATACCCGAAAAAAAATTGNATACAGATCATCTTTTTGATTTAGAAAACCTGATGTCATTTCTGTGAATTCACTCACGGCTGGCGCGTTATTACTGACATTTAGTGTCAAAAGCTGAGGCAAGCCTCCGAGATCGGACTGCGTCATTTTTTTGTGATGTCTGAGGATGATTCGCTCCGTTTCAGACCTTTACAAATTTAAAAGACAGCTTGAAGTTTCTACCGGAGACAAATTTCACAAACCCGCAAAAGTATAAAAGCAAGTGAATCAAAAATAACGTAGCGTGTGTTTTTCCTTCGATCTGTTTCCGTATGACGGAACATGAAAGATATATACATTGATATTCAGTCTTATTTTTGGCGACCTTCCACTCCCACGAATGTCAGTTCGAAAGCTTTTGTTTGTTGTATTTATAACTTGATGCGTTTGCAGTATCTTTTAACTTGACAGAGTTTTCCTTGCCATCAAATATGCTAATTTTTTTCTTTCCAAACTCGCCTCGGTATCAGAATTCAAATAATATCGATGGTCTTGAGACCGTATAGTATGAAATAAGTCACAATGCAGTACAGTCGTCTATAAATTCAACCGCCTTGCCAAAAACATTTATGTGTGTATTATTGCCGTTGACAGAAAGAATGGAGTTTTCATCATTTTGTTTTCCGACAAAAAGTCATCTCAAGTACTTGGCAATCCCACACATCCTAGCGTACACGGACCTCTCGTGCCCAGGGTCTATGGAGTGAGGCGTGCCGTGTGGTAAGTCCCTCCCAAGAACATTTCTTTATCATAGATATAATAAACAAATCCGAAAATTTTACAAAGAAAATTATTTTGCCTCGGTCGGATTACCCTTGCCCATGAAATTAATTCAATACTTATAGAATACCCGAAAAAAAATTGAATACAAATATAGCGTTTAATTTATTTGAAGTTTCCTTAAATAATTCGTGGAATAATCATAACTATCGAATATATGTGTAGTTTTCTTACGACGTCTTTCCATAACGTGGGAACTCCGAGGTTTAAAATTTAACCAAATGTTAAGAAAGATCTTTCTGCGCTATAATCGCGATTAAATGAAAGCAAAATGTCGTTGGTGCATTTCGATCCAAGCGATAATTTTGTTTCAGTTATATCCTAAACCATCCGATAGCTATAAAAAAAGCGTTCTCTATACAGAGGGTTCGCTGGGTGTCGTGGTAAATTACTGAAATATCGACGGTAAAGTAAAACGCAATCGTTTTGATCATGCATGCACTGATCTGCAGGCGTGATATTTTCGCCGCGGGGCGTACTCAAACTGCCAGAGGCTGAAAATGAAATTGCGGAGAGTAAACCTGCCAAACTTGTCCATATATTTATGGGTCGTATTTTTCCTCCATTCAATAGTTTCGACTGTATTTCAAATAAATGAAAAAATTCATCAGATGAAAAAGTAGGGAGAATTTGATGGATTCGATGTCCCTTTCACTCCAGGGATCTCCGCCGCCTGTTATTTATTTTCTTCTTTTCTTTCTTTCTTTTCTGTTATTAGGATTTTTAACTTTTTTTAATTGTTCCCTTGGAACATCAAGACTTGAGAGTTAGTTAATTTCTTCACAGCCTTTCTTGATGAAGAAGACATCATTGGGAATAATTGTCTCGTCGGCATTTTTTTTCAAAAGTAATATAACGATTTAAGACCGGAATTAAATGTAATAACATAGACTTCACACAGTTTCAATGAGATAAATGAGCGCCGATCGAGCCCAATTTGTTCGAAAACAACAACAGCATGCTGAAATGATTTACTTTCAAAGTGGGACTAAACATTTCAACCGCGCATGGCCGTTTAGCAGTGATGCTTCAGAATGTTAAATAGCTAAGTTTAAGGTGACGTTTTATTGTGATATGGTGTGAGCCTTTTTTCGAAAACCGGTTTGGGTTGATCGATTTCGTCGAAGGTCTTGTTAAACCGCCGTTTCTAAAGAATTCAAAATATGATTGAAAATGTCGGTTCCATTCAGAAACTTAACATGATCGCTGTTCAAACCGCCTCACCGTGGGGTGAAGCCCCTGATAGAACTTATAACGCTTGACTACAGTAGGAATTAAATCTCCTCGGCATCCAGTGTTTTTTATTGGTAAAGTCTGCTCCATTGGCCCGACTCCCTGACACCGCCCGCGATGTTCTCCCACCTCTATTCTTAAAGTTTGTATGGACTTGGATATTCGCGTAGGGGCTTGAATCTTTACTAAAATAACTGGAGAATTTAGAAATAGAGTGAAAAGCACTGATATACTGGATGGGAAACAGGTTCAAGAGCACTTGAAAAGACGGAAATAGAAACGAAAATTATCAGTAACTATAGGGAAAAAAATACTTTTAGAAAATTGACTTACTCTTTGATAACCAGATTTCTTCTATTTTTTTGTTTCTCCCAACAACGGTGGGAAATGATCCTATCTTAATGGTTTCAGTCCGATCGTAAACCAGGTTAAATTCTTTTTTGTGTGTGATTTCGGTATGCGCAGCGGAAGAGAAAAAAAGTAAAAGTTCTAATTTTCTAAGATGGGATAGTTGTCATATTAAATAAATTGATAATACTTCAGTATTTAAACAAGAAGATCCAATTTTATCTGAGTTGGATTTTGGCAATAGTTCTACTAAAGAAAATTAATGAAAAAATCTCTACGTTAAACAAACAACTTTTCAGCAAGCCATAAGCCCATAAGTGGTTTGAGTTTGTTTTAGCTAACTCACTTAAAATGGGCATGAAACAAAACACACTATTCCGAGCTCGTAGATATTTACCTTGGTGTCATTTCGTCCGAGATTCAGCTTTGTTGACCAGCGATGACATTTTCAGTCACCAACTTTATAATTCAAAAATGGTTAGTATCAGCTGATGCAGAAAGAAAATTAAGAGTTTTGACTGGTTTAAACTGCAGTTACAAAACTGAAAGCCCGTAGCATTCTGGCGTTGCGTCTCAGTCTTAAAATTACCTCCATAACCCGAACTAAATTTTAATATTTTGATGTTTCGCTTCAGGCGCAGCTTGTAGTTGATAAACATGTCAGTCAACATGACGGAAAGAATTTTTTTCATTTCCTACACTCCCAGTAAGAAGGACAGCATTGAATTCACCTTGTAGGGATCAATAAACAAGGTGGTGCTTGGTAATAAAATTTTCGCTTTATCTCATTTAGCATTGCGAGTATTATTAAAAATTACAGCAAATTCCGCAAAGATTCTGGCCGCGAGAAACCTTGTTCTTAAGGTAACGAAAGATAGAAATGCAACGAACTGAGGTTAATTGCTGACAGTTTGTTTAAAACAAACTCAGGCTTTGNTTCCTTGACTTCCTTACCGTCAAATATGTTAATTATTTCTCTTTCTAAGCTCGCCCCGCATTTCCAAGTTTCTACCGGAGACAAAT